TGTTTTTATTTAAAAATTTATTTATAATACTACATATATTTATTTAATATTTATTATATAAGAATGGATGGTGCTATAAGAACAACTTTTTTATATCACCTTTTTATACAACTTCTACGTGTCATTAAATGAGTCGATGCATTTAATATCATGGATAGACCTGGCAATTTTTTACCCAACCTATTAACTCGTCCATTACCCGTCTGTTTAAAACGAGTTAGGGTCATATATTTATGACTCGTGACCCGTTAATGACCCGTTAAGAGAACCCGACAGGTCACGGGTCAATAACGGGTTGACCCATCAGGTTAACGGGGTTGACCCGTTTACTCGTCTAAAAATTTAAAATTTTTTAATTTATTATTTAATTATTTTGTTTTCCAATTCCCAATCCCACCTAAACCTCTAATAATTGACTAATATTCCCTAATTAACTAATTGATTCTCTTGACTCATTATCTTTTAGAAATAAAAATAATCTCACTCCACTCATAACTCACCTCCCGACCTTTCCTATTCTTGCTTGCCCTAATATTCTCGAAAACTCTAACTCTTCAAACTTCAAACTCTTCTCATATTCTTCAACCTCCATAGTCCATACAGCATTTGACTTTCAAACTTTGACTCTACATTTTCTCTTTAGTCTTTAACATTATCTCAAACTTAGATTTTAGTCTTATCAAGTTACCGTTGCATCTACTCAACCCTTTCTTTTTTTCTCCTATGAGTCAGGCAAGTGCTCTTTTTGTTACCAACTTTTCTCTCTAAAGACTTCAAGATAAGTTGTTTACTTATTTATACTTTTTAGTTTTCTTTCTATTTCAAATAAAAATTTTACTTGATTTTCTCCTTTGCTTACTTAGATGCATTCAATTGATTATTCTTTGAAAGCAATGATCAAAACAAATATGTTCCAATGGCATTTGTGTTTTTTGGTTGTATGCTACTACTGCTTTTTTTTTTTTTTTTTTTTGCTATTGAGATTTATAAGTGTAGTATTCTTGAATTTGATTAGTATTGTTCTTTGAAGAAAAATAAAGAAGGCGATTCTGAGGAATTATAAATATGTATATATTAAATTAAT